TTAATAACTCATATTAAAAAAATTAAAATATTTTGTTTTAATAACATGAATTAAATTATTTTTGATATTTTTTTATAATATTTTATTAAAATGACTTGTTATATATAAAGGATTACGGAAGTGAGATGTACTTACTCTTTCGCTTTACAAAGATTTGTTTTGTTCTTTTAGCGTGCTCCCTGAGTTGGAATGCAGAAACATCGGACTTGGCTTGCAAGCAATGAAACTTCTACTGAACTATAAATTCTTCAAACATTTAATTATGAATATGTTGATTTAAGTGAAAGGAGTTTAATTTTTTTTAAATAATATTTCAAGTTCGAGTCTTATAAATAAAAAAATAAATGTTATGAGAACTTTCACAAATAAAATCTAATATGATTTAATTTCAGATTAATTGAAATTTAATGTAATTACCAAATACTGAAAAGTTAGTACCAAAAAAAAATTCCTCAAACATTTCACTGCTATTTTCCAGAATTGACATTCTCTATAGCTTTGGAATAAAGGCAAAAAGCAAGGAATTTGGCATCTGTGAGTAAAAACTCCACTTTTATTGTATGTTCCTACCTTGTGTGCAGGTTATATAAGTTGATTCTGCATACTGTTTATAATTTAGGCTCATTTTAGTATTATTTTGATTTTTTTATTTTAATGTTTTATATATTTAGTTATTTTTAGTATATTTAAAAATTAAAATTTATTATAAAAATTAAATTTATTAAATTTAATTTAAATATTATTATTAAGTATATAAAAATAAAAATCAAAATCAAAATCATAATAAACAATTTTTTTATCTTGACTATAGAATAAAAAGTAAAAGTAATTTAAATTGTTTAATAAAAATCAAAATTAAAATTATGTGATATCACTTAAATTCAAAAATTCTTACTTTTAACAAAAAAATATTATTATTAAATTATTTTTTTTAATGTTGTTGCACAACAAAAAACAATCTTATCTTACTCACATACTATGCGATTTAAATTTAAAATATCTTACTTTTAATGGAAAAAAAATTATCACTAAATTACTATTAAATTATTTTTAAATTTATATTTCACAATATTTTATAAAAATATCTAAATAATTTTATTATTATTCATGACATTTTAATAATCAAACCATAAGCCAACATTGTACCTAAGTTCATAATTCGATAATTATATATTTTATCGTAAAAATGCACCCTCAACTCTAACATTGGCACTCCGAAATCCTCCCTTCTTCAAAAATTATAACAAGATAAAAAAAAAAGGAAAAAAAAAAAAAAAGAAGGGAAAAACATTAGCCGACATAATATTGTCTCTGATTAACTAAGAATTATGCCGTCGAAGATCATGCAACATACAGAGCTAAATTCATCTGTGTTCGACAAAAATGAAACCTATGCAATTGCCACTGTGGCCACTCAACCTTTATGATCCAAAAAGGACGAGCGAAGCAAACAAAGAGAGAAGGGAGAGGATTTGGTCGACCCCCTAGATAAAGGCGCTTGCTCCCTGTAATTTATCCTCTTCTCAAAAGTGTGTTACTTTTGAACCAAGCAATCACGGGTCACCCCTGAAATCTCTGTTTCGAATTCATCTTTTCTGTTGCTCAACGGCCTAATCTTCTGAACCTTTCAAAAGAGCCGTGAAAATCTGCACACCCTTCTCCATTTTCTCTCCAAAATTTTCATTTTTCATTTCCATTTCCATGAATCTCCTCTCTTCATTTGGGTTAACGGGTTCGTTTTTGTGAAGCCATGAAACCCCATAATTACTTTCTCTCTTCTTCTTTCTGTCATTGATTGATTCTCCATGAAATTGTTTTTGATTTCGTCTCTGTTTTCAGCAATAAAGGTTGTGCCATGGGAAGTTGTCATCTGGATTGTTCTATATGTTAAACTTTCTTTGATTTTGTTGGGTGTTTTCATGAAAACCCATCTTGCTTTTTCGATCTTGGACCGAACCCATGTTTTTGAATCAGTTCATGCACTTCCTAAAATCAATACACACATTCAGGAGGAAAATACCTTTTGATTGTTTGTCTTGACAGATAAGGTATTTCTGTAACAATTCCACAAACCCATTTCGAATAAAAGGCTAAATATTCTATGGCAACCTCATGTTTCTATGGATTTCGCCTTCGGAAATCCAAGGGGAAACCTTTTCCAGCCCCTTCATCATCGAAAAACCAGTTGGATTCTGATATGGAGAACATGGAAAAGAGGAGATTTGATAGCTTGGATTCATGGTCCATGATTTTGGACTCGGAGATTGTGGAGACTTGGGAGGCATCAAAGGAGGATCAGGAGGAATGGACGGCTGATCTGTCTCAGTTGTTCATAGGTAACAAGTTTGCTTCTGGGGCTCACAGTAGGATTTACCGTGGAATTTATAAGCAGAGAGCTGTTGCTGTTAAAATGGTAAGGATTCCAAACCAAGAGGAGGAGACTAGAGCCAAACTTGAACAGCAGTTCAAGTCTGAAGTGGCCTTCCTTTCCCGTCTGGTTCACCCCAATATAGTGCAGGTACGGCTTAATTAAAAGCCATATATGGTGTCATAGACATGTAGTGTATGAAAGAATGTTTCTTATTTGAGATTTGGTGAGGAAACAAAGTCAAATATTGTGAAATTCCAGGCTTTAGTTTCTTTGTAGTTTTGCAGAAAATTGAGGCTTGAATTGATTGTTGATTAGCCCTTCTTAGGCTCTTGTGTTCTTTTGTTTTTATAGAAATGAATTTTATTGAATTATTTGCTGGTAGCTTAGTTAATGTATCAGAAGTATAGCTTTTTGTGGCTTAACCTTTGAATTACCTTCTGGACAGTTCATTGCCGCATGTAAAAAGCCCCCTGTGTACTGTATCATCACAGAATACATGTCACAAGGGACTCTAAGGATGTATCTGAACAAGAAGGAGCCTTATTCGCTTTCAACTGAGACAATACTAAGGTTAGCTCTTGACATATCCCGGGGGATGGAGTATCTTCATTCACGAGGGGTGATCCACAGAGACCTCAAATCAAATAATTTGCTTCTAAATGATGAGATGCGGGTTAAGGTGGCAGATTTTGGCACATCTTGTCTAGAAACTCAGTGCCAGGAAACCAAAGGAAACATGGGGACTTACCGCTGGATGGCACCAGAAATGATCAAGGAGAAACCCTATACTCGTAAAGTGGATGTGTATAGCTTTGGGATTGTGCTGTGGGAGCTCACGACAGCTTTGCTTCCCTTTCAAGGAATGACCCCTGTGCAGGCTGCATTTGCTGTGGCTGAAAAGGTTAGATGCTCACAACCTAAATCCAATCTCTTCCTTTAGTTTTAAAATTACAAGCTTTACTCTCTCCCCTTGCTCTATAATGACCATCACTTTATAGACCTATTTAGAAAAATGAACATTTTTTTTAACCTTTCTCTTGCTTTATGATGAACACAATGAGCCGTTTAGAGGAATGCTTTTTAAGATGTTTTAGCAGACAGATTTTAGTTTTACCCCTTTACTAAATCAAAGAGGATTGGGAAATAGTTGCTTTGACCCATTTGGGCCATTAATATATACCTTTGTGATTGGTCATGTAATTTGTTGTGACCATGTCAAACATTTCTATTGGTGTAAAAGATGTTGCACTTGACATAGAGGTTGGAACTCAGTAAAATCCTCAACTTTGAACCAAAATATATAGTCTGGCAAACATTGGTGTGCTTTAAAAGGAAAAGGAATTTCTTTGATAAAATGTTTTACTAGATGTAAAAAAGTCCTAGTTCTTACCAATGACAATGTGAGGCACTTCTTCCCTTAAATTTAATAGGAGGAGAAGAAGTAGGCTGTGTGAGAACTGAAATTAACATACAGAATAGAATTGGAATATAGGTGTTACACAATTGTATGAATTCTCAGTCAAACATAAAAAAGGACCAGAACTTGAGGTTCATGTGCTTGATTTTCTTGACATGCTTCATTCATTGGAACTTGTGAGATTTTTGCCCAAGGATTCCTAGGCAATTTAGGAACAACAACTTGGTTTAACTTTCTCTTATACAAATGTTTTTGTTGGACAGAATGAACGGCCTCCATTACCAGCTAGTTGCCAACCTGCACTTGCTCACCTCATAAAGCGCTGCTGGGCAGCAAACCCTTCAAAGAGGCCGGATTTCTCTGACATAGTATCCATCCTTGAGAAGTATGACGAGTGTGTCAAGGGGGGCCTTCCTCTAACTTACCACTCAGGTCTAGTTAGCCGAAATGTCATTCTTGAACGGTTGAAAGGCTGTGTATCTATGAGTTCATCTATACCTGTACATGCCTGATCCCCTAATGGTTATCACTATTTGTCTTCCCTCCTCAAAGCACAACGTTAGTAAAAAATAATCTGTACATATTTTATGTTCTTTAACCATCTAATGTAACTAAATTTCGTAACTATATAAAGTTTCTTCTGGCCATATTTATTAATCCCATTTTTAGTTTATGTTCAAAAATTTTGGTTTTTTTTTTCTCAGATAAAAAGTGGAAACAGAAACTCTTTTCCATATATGAAAAGACGAGTTTGCCGTTAAAAGCAAGTTCAACATGTTTTTAAAGTAAAAAATCATTTATTAGAGGTATGGTTATGACCACACAATAAATTATTAAGGTTATTTAAATATTTAAATATTGTTTAATTTTGTTTAGTTTTAACATTAAAAATGGATAATAATAGTAATTGTTAGTTGGTAAATAATAAAACAATCAATATATATTACTTAATATATTATAATTAAATTATACATTGATATTTTTAAATTAATAATATTATAGTTTAATACCATATAAGATTATAAATTTATCATCTTACATGACTTTAAATAAAACATGATATCACATTAAATGAGTAAATACATATACTATCATAGATAAACTTTTAAATTAAACAAATTTAATTATATAATAACATATTATATTATAAATTTATAATGTTAAGTGATATTATAACAATAATATTTTTATTTTTAAATATCATAATTAACTAACTGTTTATAAAGATAAAAAGTTTATGCAACTTTAACACTTTAGTGTGTGGCCTTAACCAATCAAATCTATTAGGCATTAGCAAATTTTTTATTAGTTGCCTTGCCTTCTTCTTCTTCTTCTTCTTCATTATTCGTTGCGAACTGAAAAGTAGAGTTCTAGCAAATGATGGGTATTGGATGGTGAAACATATTTGGACCAGGCCTAATATTAGAATCTTCAGGTAGGGCCTACGGAAGGCCCATCAAGCTGGAAATTCCCTACAGCTTTCGTTGAGTTAAGCTGTCTTCCAGGAGGAATAGGATCTTTTTCTAGCTTAAAAATTGGGTGAGTAAAATGATGCAACTTCCACCTGAAGAGGAATCTCTACCTAATTCTATCCTGAGTCAACTTTAATAATTGATCATCATTTACTTTTAGAGCTTCAAAAATGAATCCGAGCAAACTGCCTTTCTAAGATTGCTGTTCTCCAAATACCAAAACAGAAAGCAACCGTTTGAAAAATCCCCATTTACACTAATAACGGGCCAAAGTTCAGAATCTGAAATTACACTTTTGAGCAAAAAAATGAAAAAAAAAAAAAATCATTTGCCTCCAAATTTTACTCCAATTGCAATTGTTATAACTGTTCAATTTTATCCATAAAAAAATTGATTAAATTAATATGTATAAATTTAAAATTTAAACAAAAAATTTAAACTTTTATACTTTTTGGTATTAACTTCCTGGTATCCAGTAATCATATTGAGTCTCAATTAATACGAACTTGCGTCAGATCCCATTAGGGAAAGCTCTCATAGCATTTGTTTTTTCATTCATAAGACTCTAATTTGATATTTTATTTACGTGAAATCGAATCCCTTCTATTCGAACTAACAGGTTGTTGGTTTTAAAATTCTATACTACCAAATAATTAATCCTTTAAAAGAAACTC